CTTTGGGAGGCTGAGGTGAGTGGATTGCCTGAGCCTGCGGGTTTGAGACCCGCCTGGGCGGTGAGACCTCATCTCTACAATAAATCAAAAAATCAGCCGGGCGTGGTAGCGCGTGCCTGTAGTTCCAGCTACTCGGAAGGCTGAGGCGGAAGGCTCGCCGGAGCCCGGCAGGTCGAGGCTGCGGTGGCCGGGAGTGGCCCCTGCACTCCAGTCTGGGCGACAGAGTGAGACTCCAACTCAAAAAAAAAAATGTGATGCTCTAGGGTGGGCACATTGGCGCAAGCCTGTCATCCCAGCACTTTGGGAGGCCGAGGGGAAAGGATTGCCTGAGCCTAGGGATTCGAGACCAGCCTGGGCAACTTGGCGAGACCTTGTCTCTACAATAAGTAAATAAATAGCTGGGCGTGGAGGCATGCACCTGTAGTTCCAAGCTACTTGGAAGGCTGAGGCGGAAGGATCGCCAGAGCCCAGCAGGTCAAAACTGCGGTGGCCATGAACGTGCCACTGCCCTCTAGCCTGGGCGACAGAGTGAAACTCCATCTCAAAAAAAAAAAAATAAAATGTGATACTCTAACAAGGACAAGGTCACTTGCCACCTCCTTGTTTGTGACAGTGAAAAAGAACAGACCTACTCCCCCAGCTCTGACAGGGACACGTGTACAGACTGGTTCCTACCAGCAGGACAGCAGGGTCAGCACTGTGTGGAGGGGTGTGGGGGCATCTCAGAACTCAGCATGGATGAGGCTGGTGTGGTGACTCACCGTGCCTGGAATCCCGGCGCTTTGGGAGGCCGAGGAGGGAGGATTGCTTGAGCCTGGGCAACGGAGCAAGACCTGGTCTCTGCTAAAAATCAAAAAACTAGACAGGCATGGTGGCGTGCACTTGGAGTTCCAGCTATTCAGGAGGCCGAGGCGGGAGGATCACCTGAGCCCAGGAGGTCAGGGCTATGGTGAGCCATGATCGTGCCACTGCATTCCAACCTGGGCGACGGAGTGAGACCCTGACTCAAAATAAAGCAAACACGTTCCAAGAAAGTGGTAGATGTCAGCGTACATGGAAGGAGAGAGACACTAACCTTGGCCTAATAGTCTCTCCTGTGCCAACCTCACCAACTCACCTGGGGTTTAGAGTATTCACAGAGCTGGGCAGACGTCACCGTAATCAATTTCGGAACAATTTCATCACCCTAAGAAGAAACGCCCTTCACTGTATACCTGTCACCTCCTGAGACTCCCGCCTGTCCCAGGCACCTGGTGACCCCCAGTCTCGTCTCTGTGTCTGTCACTCTGGACTTTTCGGGTAAATGGCATTTTGCCCACGTGGCCTTTGGGGTGTCTTCAAGGCTCCTCCGTGTTGTGGCGTGTGTCGGTGCTGCGTTCCTGGTCATTCCCGTGTCACGTCCTGTTGGACGACTGGACGATGCTTTGTGTCCGTTCACTGGTGAAAGGACATAAGGCCGCTTTTGGGCTGTTGCGAATATGCTGCGGTGGACATTTGTGGGCGCGTTTGTGTGTGAGGACACGTTTTCGTTTCTCTGTTGGGTGTGCACACCTAGGGTGGCTGGGTCACACAGGGACCTTTGGAGTGGCTGGCAAGCTGCTTTCCGAAGTAGCTGTATTGTTTTTTCTTTTTTTTCTTGAGATGGAGTCTCATTCTGTCGCCCAGACTGGAGCGCAGTGGCCGCTCCCGGCCACCGCAGCCTCGACCTGCTGGGCTCCGGCGATCCTGCCGCCTCCGCCTTCCAAGTAGCTGGAACTACAGGTGTGCACCACCATGCCTGGCTAATTTTTTGATTTATTGTAGAGACGAGGTCTCGCCAAGTTGCCCAGGTGGGTCACAAACTCGCGGGCTCAGGCGATCCACTCACCTCGGCCTCCCAAAGTGCTGGGATGACAGGCTGAGCCACCAAGCCCGGCCTGTATTGTTTTTCATTCCCAAAAGCTGTGTGTGAGAATTCCAGTGCCTTTGTACCCTTGTGGACACTTGCTGTCGGCCATCTTTTTGTTTTTGTTTTGAGTCGAGGTCTCACTCTGTCACCCAGGCTAGAGTGCAGTGGCATGATCACAGCTCACCATAGCCTCCCAGATAGCTGGGACTACAGGTTTGTACCACCATGCCCGGCTAATTAAAAAAATTGGGGTGAGGGAAGAGGTAGATCTTGCTGTGTTGTTCAGCCTGGTCTCAAATTCCTGACCTCAAGGGATTCTCCCACGTCAGCCTCCCAAAGTGCTGGGATTACAGGTGTGAGTCACCACACCAGGCTGTATTAAGTATTGTATGTAATCTAGAGATGATTTTAAGCAGCAATCCCCAACCTTTTTGGCATCAGGGATCATGCTATGACAGCAGGTGAGCTAAGGGGAGTGGCTGTAAACACAGATGAGGCTTTGCTCGCTGTGTGACAGGTTTCTAACAGGTACCAGCACCTGGCCTGGGGGTTGGGGACCTCTGACTTAAGGCACTCCCTTTGTGAGTCACGCTCACAAGTGCATACACACACTCAACAACCCCACACACACGTGCATGAAAGCCGGCATTTTTCTGCACACCCACACATGCATGGACATGCATGCACTTGCATTCACACATGTGCCCGGCACAATCCTATCATACTCAAGTAGGGGCCGGGCACGGTGGCGCACCCCTGTAATCCCAGCACTTTGGGAGATGGAGGAGAGAGGATTGCCTGAGCCCAGGTGTTCAAGACCAGCCTGGGGGCCGGGTGCAGTGGCTCGTGCTTATAATACCAGCACTTTGGGAGGCCGAGGTGAGAGGATTGCCTGAGCCCACGGGTTCGAGGCCAGCCTGGGCAACTTGGTGAGACCTCCTCTCCACAATAAATCATAAAAAATGGCCGGGCATGGTGGTGTGTGCCTGTAGTTCCAGCTGGTTGCAAGTCTGAGGCGGAAGGATCACTGGAGCCCAGCATTTCGACATTGGGGTGGCCACGAGTATGCCACTGCACTCCAGCCTGGGTGACAGAGTGAGACTCCAACTCAAAAAAAAAAAAGAACATCTGGGCAAGTTGGCAAGACCTCATCCCTACATTAAATCAAAAAATCAACTGAGTGTGTTGGTGCACGCCTATGTTCTAGCTACATGGAAGGCTGAGGCGGAAGGATCACTAAAGCCCAGCAGGTCGAGGCTGCAGTGACTGTGAGTGTGCCTCTGTATTCCAGTCTGGGCGACACAGTGAGACTCCAACTCAAAGTAAAATAATGGCCGGAGCCGGGCTCGGTGGCTCAGCCTGTCATCCCGCGCCTTGGGAGGCCGAGGTGAGTGGATGGCCTGAGCCCGTGGGTTCGTGACCCGCCTGGGCAACTTGGCAAGACCTCATCTCTACAATAAATCAAAAAATCAGCCGGGCGTGGTAGCGCGTGCCTGTAATTCCAACTACTCGGAAGGCTGAGGCGGAAGGATCGCCAGAGCCCGGCAGGTCGAGGCTGCGGTGGCCGGGAGTGGCCGCTGCCCTCCAGTCTGGGCGACGGAGTGAGGCGCCAACTAAAATAATAATAATAATAATAATACATTATATGGGGGGGGTAAGTCCCATGCAAATGCCATTTCATCTGAAGGACTTGAGCATCTATGGATTTTGGTGTCCTTGAGGGTTCTGTTACCAGTCGCCCTTAGATACTGAGGGACAACTGTATACACTGTGTTTGTTTCTGTGTAGTAACAGGTGAGCTGCGTGTGCAGCCCTAGACAAAGGGATGGTTCACGTCCTGGGTGGGACAGAACAAGGTCGTGTGAGATTTCATGATGCTGCTAGGAACGACGTGCAATTTAAAGATTTATATGAAGCCGGGCACGGTGGCTCAGGCCTGTCATCCCAGCACTTTGGGAGGCCAAGGCGAGAGGACTGCCTGAGTCCAGGGGTTCAAGACCAGCCTGGGTGACTTGGTGAGACCCCCTCTCTACAATAAATCAAAAAATTAGTCGGGTGTGGTGGTGCGTGCCTGTAGTTCCAGCTACTTGGAAGGCTGAGGCGGAAGGATTGCCTGAGCCCAGCAGGTCAGGCTGTAGTGGCCGGGAGCGTGCCACTGTACTCCAGCCTAGGTGATGGAGTGAGACGCTGACTCAAAAAAAAAAAAAAAAAAAAAATTTATATGAATAGTTTATTTCTAGAATCTTTCATTTAATATTTTCAGACCTCATTTGACCATGGGAAGCTGAGACTGTGGAATGCGAAACTGTAGATGATGATGTAACTTCTTTTTATTTTTATTTTTTTAATTTATAAACATTTTTTATTTTAAAATTGTGGGGTACAGTTAAGGGTTAGGTATGCAAATATGTATCATTCAGGCACCCTTGTTGATAAGGGGTGTCTCCCAGATGCAACTTCTATATACATGTACAAGACCATTGAGGCCAGGATTGAGTTAGCTCAGGACAGTCCATCTCAGCTATTGCAAAACCAAAAAACAAATTGTCCGCTTCATGGGCATTTGGAACTCTTAGAATTACTTTGAGCCAGTCAAATAAGCAGATCCTTCATTAAATTTAGATAGCCCTGGCCAGCATGGTGGCTCATACCTGTAATCCCAGCACTTTGGTAGGCTGAGGAGGAAGGATAGCTTGAGCTCAGGAGTTCAAAACCAGCCCAGGCAACATAGCGAGCTCTCCCCTCTACATACGAAACAGGCCAGGCGCGGTGGCTCAGCCTATAATCCCAGGAGGCCAAAGTGAGTGAATTGCCTGAGCCTGCCGGTTCAAGACGAGCCCGGGCAACTTGGTGAGACTTCGTCTATACAATAAATTGCCAGAGCCCAGCAAGTCGATGCTGGGGTGGCCATGAGCATGCCACTGCACTCCAGCCTGGGTGACAGGGTGAGACTCCAGCTCAAAACACGCGTACACACACACACACACACACACACACAAATTTGGCGTGATGGCAAATGTTTGTAGTTCCAGCTACTCGGGAGACTGAATTGGGAGGATCGTTTGAGCCCAGGAGATTGAGGCTGTGGTGAGCTTTGATCGTGCCACTACACTCCAGCTTGGGTGACAGAGACCCCAACTCAAAAAAAACAAAACAAAACAAAACCCAAAAAAACTAAAAACCTCAGCTCTGCCAAGGGTATCTGTCTCCTGGAAAGGATGCTGTATAAGGACTCTCATTGTCCAGATGTCTGACTCTGTCCAGCAGTGATTATTAGATTTCTGAGCAAACACCAGGCATATACCTTTGTTTTTGTTTTTGTTTTTATTTTTTGAGTTGAAGTCTCACTCTGTCGCCCAGACTGGAGTGTAGTGGCCGCTCCCGGCCACCGCAGCCTCAACTTGCTGGGCTCTGGTGATCCTTCCAAGTAGCCGGAATTACAGGCATGCACGCTACCACGCCTGGCTACTTTTTTGATTTATTGTAGAGATGAGGTCTCACCACGTTGCCCGGGTGGGTCTTGAACCTGCAGGCTCAGGCAATCCACTTACCTCAGCCTCCCAAAGGCGTGGGATTACAGGCTGAGCCACCGAGCCGGCTTGTTTTTGTTTTTGTTTTGAGTGGGAGTCTCACTCCGTCTCCCGACTGGAGCGACGGTTTCAGGCATATACCTTTGAATGGAATTGACTCCAAATACTGTATTTAATCTGTTGCTATTAATAATCCCCTGGTGTTCTGTGTTCTTTGTAAAATCCCTGAGATCTTTTCTTTTGTTTTGAGTCGGAGTCTCACTCTGTTGCACAGGCTGAAGTGCAGTGGCACGCTCACAGCCACCGCAGCCTCCACCTGCTGGACTCAGGCGATTCTGCTGCCTCAGCCTTTCAAGTAGCTGGAACTATAAGTGCACGCCACCATGCCCAGCTAAATTTTTTTTGATTAATCATAGTGATGAGGTCTCACCGTGTTGCTCAGGCTGGTCTCAAACCCCTGGGCTCAGGCAATTCCCTGGCTTCATCCTTCCAAAGCGTTGAGATGACAGGCGTGAGCCACCGCACCCGGCTTTAATTTTTTGACTTTTTGTAGAGACAAGTTTTTGCCCATTTGCCCAGGCTGGTCTCAAACTCCTGGGCTCAAGAAGTCCTCCCACCTTGGCCTCCCAAAGAACTGGGATGACAGGTGTGCATCACTGCACCCGGCCAAGGTTTGGAGCTGCTTGGCTAGCTTTTTGAGAAATGGATTCAGAGCTGTTGGCTTTGATGCCCTCTTCAACACTATATGTTTATCTGTCGCAAACATTTGCTTGGCGATCTTACTGCTTTTAAAAAAATGGTCTGTTTCTTACTTCAAAATTGATTGGGCCATGGGAGCTTGCTCTTTGCTAGCCAAATCACATGTCAATATTATTGGTTTTGGTTTTTTTTTGAGTCAGAGTCTCACTCTGTCGCCCAGACTGGAGTGCAGTGGCACATTCATGGCCACCGCAGCCTCGACCTGCTGGACTCCGGCAAGCCTTCCACCTTGGCCTTCCAAGTTGCCGGAACTACAGGCGTGTGCTACCACGCCTGGCTAATTTTTTGATTTATTGTAGAGGTGAGGTCTTGCCAAGTTGCCCGGGCTGGTCTCAAACCCGCAGGCTCAGGCCATCCACTCGCCTCAGCCTTTCAAAGTGCTGGGGTTTCAGGCCGAGCCACTGAGCCTGGCCACGTGTCAATATTGTTGACAGTTTTGCAGAAGGCCGGAGCCCAGGTGATGCCCGAGGGTGGTAGCTTTCCTTACTTGACGCTTTCCTTCCGTGTCGTCAAAACAGAGCCACAGGTTCTGGGTACTGGCATCTCTCCCCGCTCCGGCCGCGCCCACCTGCCCCCGGCATTTCCACCTGCGCGCGCCTGGCGACGTCTCACACGTGGCCCGTCCACGTGTGGTTTCTCAGCTTCCACCCCAGCTGAGGTGCTCGGGTCAGTAGCTCCGTGAGTCGGTGGCTCCAGCCAGGAGCCTGGGATCTGTTTCGTCGCCTCGTCCAGCCCCAGGCGCGGTGGGTCATCGTTCCCACCGTCCCTGTCACGGCTCCGAGCCGGGCCTGCCCACTCTCCTGGAAGACTGCCCCAGCTTCCTGAAGTCTCGCTTCCACGTCCCCGTCCGTGCTCCAGACGGCAGCCAGAGTGGTCTCTAGGATGGAAGCGGTGACGGGCACCCCGTCCTCCAAGCCCCTGGCTGCTTTCCCAATGCCCGAGTACAGAATCGGGCCACTTCCCAGGGGCTGCTTTTGCCTTCCTCTCCAAACCCAGTCGCCCTGCCCTTGGCCCCAACCAACTGCCCTTGGCCCCAGCCACTCTACCCTTGACCCCAATCCCCTGCCCTTGACCCCAGCCTTTCCGCCCTTGATCCCAACCACCTGCCATTGACCCCAGCCACCCTATCCTTGCTCCCCGCCCCCAGCCACACCCCTTTCCTGCCTCCGGGTCTGCCCGTGGACCTGAAGGCCTTGCCTGCTCTCCCCGTGGCCAGCCCTTCTCCTGGGACTCAGTGTCTCCCAGGACGTCCCCGGGGAACCCCCTCTTTTCCCTGCATCCCGAATGCTGTTCACGCCTTGCTTGTCTGCTCGCACTTCGCCTCCCCGTCTAAGCTGCGGGAGGACAGAGGGACCGTTTTTGCCGGGGTCTGGGTCTTCCCCTTGACTGGCACATCAGAGGCAGCCAGCAAGAATTTGCTGAGCAGGCAGAGGCGTGAAAGTGGGGACCTCTCAGGGGTCTCCCGGGCGGGGGGGACTTCTGTATTTTGACTGACTGAAGACAGAGCTAGTCTGACTTGTGTAACTGGGTGTCTTGGGAACCGTGATGCCTGTTGGTTTTGCTAGGCCCTGCCTCTGGCCCTCAGTGGGGAAAAACAGGAGAATATTAGCCTGGGCAGCATAGCAAGACCCTGTTTCTACAAAAAATAGAAAAATTAGCCAGGCCTGGTGGCACATGCCTGTAGTCCTAGCTACTTGGGAGGCTGAGGCAGGAGGATCACCTGAGCCCAGGAGGTTGAGGCTGCGGTGAGCCGTGATTGTGCCACTGCACTCTAGCCTGGGAGACAGAGTGAGACCCTCAACTAAAAAAAAGAAAAGAAAAACAGGAGAATCATTGTGTGATGAGATTACACCCATACACGCACACATACAATTAGATTTTTTTTTTTTTTGAGTTGGAGTCTCACTCTGTCGCCCACTCACAGCCACTCCAGCGTCCACCAGCTGGGCTCCGGCGAGCCTTCCGCCTCGGCCTTCCAAGTAGCCGGAACTACAGGCGTGCGCTACCATGCCGGGCTAGTTGTTGATTTATCGTAGAGATGAGGTCTCACCAAGTTGCCCGGGCTGATCTTGAACCCGCAGGCTCAGGTAGTCCACTCGCCTCAGCCTCCCAAAGTGCTGGGATTGCTGGCGTGAGCCCCCACGCCTGGCCATGATTATCTTTATAGAGTCTTTATGGTCCCATCTGAAACCCTGAAATGGTTTCTCAGAATAGTGGCCACACAGACCCCAGAGGAAAGGCCTGAAGTGCTGGCCTAGCACTCCTGCTTGAAGATCTGGGTCCAGGGCTGTCGTGGACTCACGTGAGGACGCTCTGGCTTTCTTCTTGCTGGCCCTCCAGGAGGCTGACTGGCAAGAATGAGATTTATCTCGCCCATGGAAGTTTCTAAGGCTTCCTGGGGCAGGGGTGAGGCTGGGTGGTGCTGGTCTGGAGGTGTGGTTCTGGGGTGTGGGCAGGGCCAGGGGGCCAGGGTCCCACAGCCTGGCCTCCTCTGCGGATCATCCTGGACCTCTAAGCAGAGGCAGCAACTGCACAGTGCTGGACAGGCGAGGGTGCCAAGTGTGATGACGGAATTGGATCTGTTCATGAAAAGTAGGCTGACGGGTGGCTCACACCTGTCATCCCAGCACTTTGAGAGCCCAAGGCGGGAGGGTCGCTGGAACCCAGGAATTTGAGACCAGCCTGGGCAACATGGCAAGACCTCATCTCTACAATACATCAAATATTAGCTAGGTGTGGTGGCGCACGCCTGTGGTTCCAGCTACTTAGAAGGCGGAGGCGGAAGGATCGGTGGCTCAGCCTGTAATCCCACGCCTTGGGAGGCTGAGGTGAGTGGATTGCCTGAGCCCGCGGGTTTGAG